CAAACATCCAAACTCAACTCACAGTCAACTTTGAAAAATGAATAGGTAATTCTTTCAATGCCAAAGTTGTGTTGTTGTTATTATTATTATTATGGTAATATTGCAAAATAGGCTTCCAAGGAAGCATATTAAAACTATACTATGGAAAACAAATGTTCAATTAGTGATTTCTACTTGTTCTTTTCATTTGAATTTTCAGTTCATAAGATTATAGGCATTAAGACAAAACTAAATATAGTTGTATCTCTTGTTTTTCACTGAAGTCATTAGCTTCATAGGTCCACACCCTACGATTAGAAATTATCCACATGTGACAAATGTCAGTGAGGTAATCTAAGAAAATGTGTCTAATGAATTAGTACAAGCTACAGAAAAGTATGGTGATATATAACCACTTATACACAAGGTTCTAATACTGAAGAAAATTATGTAATTCCTCTAACCTACAATAGCCTTGTATTTTTAATGTAGAAAACAGAATCATTTCAATAAGCCTAATATCTTGAATGTTAATGCTTTATTTTCTGTAACACTAGTATTTTTCATATAAAATATTAAAAATTACTTCCACACAGAGGCTATACTTACAAAAGCCATCAGAAGTACTTAGGGAATTTATCCAATGCTTTTTAGTTAGGAAAACTATTGATTACTGCCATCATGGCTATAAAAAATCTAATTCTGTTTTAAATCTAGTGTTTTATTACTCATGCTCTTATTAATACCTTAAAATATTAGTTAATTCAAATATGCAATATTCACTGATAGTCACTAGGAACTAATAAAAGCAAACACTTTTTAGAGGCAAATATTAGTTACTATTTCAACTGTGAAAGGTCAGAATAGAGTTTATGATAAGAATAATGCAGCTAAAAAGGAAATTTGGTGTTTTCTATGGCATGCAAAACAAAGATAAGTAAGCCATCCCAAGCAAATTTTGGATACAATGTCTCCTATGATAATAATTAAACTATTTTTCAGATAGGCCTGTGAATATCAGATCTAATTTTATCTAATAACTGGATATAGTTTCTATGAAGAAAACTTCTTTAAGATTTAATATAATAATTCAGAAACACAATTTTTTAATACCAAGAATATCAAGTAAAGAGATTCAGAAAGTCCAGAGCAGTGCCCAGATTTCTGTATTTATAAAACTTCACAAACAAGTCTGATCTGCAATCTCAATTAAAAAGCACTGGCTTAGAAAATGCTAGATTCAAATTAAAGAAGTAAGGCTGTGGCCAACATTTTAATAATGAAATGATGACTGGTAACACTATGTTGTTGCTTAATGACATCAGAAAAAGTACCAGCAGGAATCTGATGTAGGAAAATTCTCCAGAACAATGTTCCAGATGGGGGTCAAGTTTAAAGCAAATCAAATATTAAGACTTACTGGGAAAGGACAATTTCAGCTGATGAGAAGAACAGCAATTCAGACAATCTATGAGTCTGACTAATAAAGGAAAACAACAGATCAGATTTCATTTCTTGTTTTAGTCAAAACTTAAATCCTAAAGACAGGTTTAACAATTTATTTGCAGAGGAGAGTTATTAATGATGTAGTTGAAGAGACACCAACCTTCACATCCACACACTGTGTATTACATATTATATATTATTTAATATTTATATAATATTTATATTTAACATAGTCTATGTACTTGAATCTTTTCATTGGAAAGATGACAAAGACAATGACAATGCTACTCATTTTATAAATGTTAATATATGAAAGGACCTAAAATTTTTAAAGTCAATTAAAAGATTTACCTTAGTGATTTCTTTCAAAGTAACAATATAAAATTTATTTAAAGGCAAAGGCTGGGTGTCTGTCATCATTAAATAAAAATCTGGTATTCAAGTGAACAATTTTCTCTGCCTACTCTTACTCAAGCAAAACATAAAACACCTTAGTTTAAGATTCAACTTTCAAGTCTAAATTCTGATTATGAGAATTCAGAAGCATAAAATTGATTCAAGGTACCAGTTCTTCAAGGATAATTCTTACATGCCTTACACAGAGAAAAAAGTAAGCCTCACTGATGTTCCTTGCTAATAACAAGTGAGTATTTGGCATTTTCTCTCCTACAAAAGGATGTGACCTAAGAAAAGCACTATGACCTAAAGGAAATTGACAGAAACTTACTCATAGCTGACAAGCTTCACAGGCTTAAAAATCTATCTACTGGCTTACCTTCATCTTTATATACCTTCCTAATTTTCATGCCCTGATCGACTTTTTCTTCTCTCCTCCAGTGTTATCTAAGTAATGATAGAATATTGATCTGGAGAATTGAAGAAAATGTTTTATAAAGATTCTTTATTTTCTAAGTGAACACAGCTATTATGTTTTAATATTTGACCTCATTTTCTAAACATGAAGTCATTAATTCAGAGTCTATCTATCTCCCCATCACCAGGATGCTGATATTTCTATCATCACCAGTGTCAAGAAACAGAAGCAAATAGGAAGCTCTTCAAAGACAACAAATTTTGAAGGTTGTCTGAGATATTATCTTCATATCAACTGAAATGTCCACTGGTTATTCCATTTTAATGATATTGTTAACTTCTCCCATTTTACAATATAGAAATATTTTCAATGGATAACATTTAAATAGACCAGAATTCCCCAAAGTATATCTTTCCAGTGATTTTACCTAGTGATTTTTTAATTCAATGTGCTAAAATGTTTAAATGAGGAACATATTATTCAGCTAATGGTTCTACTGTATTTGTTTATTAGATAAACTTTTTAAGTTCTGTTCTTCCAGACTGTTGACAAAGATTTTCCTTGAAGTTCTATATTTTTGGCTTTTCCTTTTTGGAAAAAGTATAAAAATTCTACTGTCCTGACATCTACTGTTAGTCTATGTAGGGTATCTATTTTACTGTGAACAGAGCTGCTTCTTATTTGTGCTATAAAATGAAGACTGCTTGTCCAATTACCCCATCTAAAAAGCAGCAAAGTAAAACACCATAAATCTAGGAATTTTTCCCTGATAAACTTTTTGTAACTTATAAGCATCCAAAATGACTTCCAAAACCAGTATTAAATGGCCTTAAAAATAACAAAGGCATCCTTATACCAAAATCCCTGGAAGAGAACTTTTTAAAGTTTTGATTTAGAAATCATTTTTCCAAAAATCAACTTTTAAAATGCCAAAAATCAATCGTGTTGGTTCTGCTGACTTGAAACCTATGAAAATGAGTAAGGTAAAAAAGGAAATAGAATGAAGTAAACTCATAGAAGCAGTAAGTCTCAGTAAGTCATCATTATGTCTACTGATTTATTTTGAGACATTTTCACCACAAACTCCTGAAGTCCTCAAGAAGGAAACCTTCACATTTACTTATGTTCTACTTTACACTCACTGCACTAGTTTATTTCAGTATTGTTCACCTAAACATAACTTTTTTTTCTGAATAAACCAGAGGATTTTAAGTAATTGGAAAGAAAATTCTTATACAACCTTTCATTAGTCTTGACTCAAATAGATCTAATCTATTCAAAAAGCTTCCCAAAAAGAACCCTTTACATCTTAAAAAAATTTTACTCACTCACAGGATTATAAAGAAAAGAGTATTAGATATTGTGGGCAACAGGGAAGAGTTGAAGAGGGAAAAGATTCAGCTGAGAAAACAATCGGATGTAAAGAAATTTATGATTTGTGGAATAAAAGCAATATTACTTTAAGAAGATAGTATTGCAAAAGCTTTTTTTTTCTGATCACATACCACTTTAAGAAAGCCACACAACCATTCACTCCTGAAAAAATGCAGTTAATATACAGACTTTTTGAATAATTTCGGGGGATTCTTAAATTCCTTAAAACCTATGGAATCTCAGATAAAGGACACTTATGGTTATAAAAGCTCTCTGACCTAACTCAAAAGAGAAGCTTATAAAAGCACTAGGTTTAACAGTCCCTTTGAATTCCAAAATATATCTATTCGCCTTTAATTTTATAATCTTGAATAGTAAAGCAAAATATATCATTTAGCTATGTATAATAAAATTCACTGTAATTCTAAAATTTATATATAGCATGAAATAAGAAATGCACATTTAAAAATACCACTATATCTAAAGACTAGTTTAAGTTATGCCTATACTTTTCAATTCATTCGTCAATCACACAGAAGTCCTAGGGAAAAACTTAATATATTTGTGTTTCATTGCTGACACTTTAATTTCTGGGGGAAAAATCACAGTACTTGCTTAGTAAAGAAAAAGCCAAGAAAATTCAAACTTTGTAGATACAAATTGTGCTGCAAATTCTACTTAAAATGACCCAACTGTCAAAATCATAATGAACATTTTTCCTTATTTATGCTACTAATAAAATACATCTACAAAATGTATCTCTAGGTTCTCTTATTCCCTTACACTTGATTACTTAAGGAAAATAATACATTTCACTAAAATCTCATTAGTAATGTGCTAAATAGTAGTGGAATGTGCCAGTGTACCAGTTTCAATAGTTTATTTTCAACCCATCATGAAAACTTGGAATTTATACTGTTTTAAAATCCCGTTATGAAACAGATTCTTTTAAAATATTACTCATTCAGGAGTTCCATAAATAAACTGATGGTTTTTAAAATAATGGTCAGTAAATAGGAAAATTATTAACTAAAGGATGTATGGAAAGCCATGTCTCTCAACTGTCCCATTATTTGTACTCTTTTGTGGAAATAACTTAAATTTTTCTGTTAAGAATAATAAACAAATTGAACTTAACTTCTTCATTTTTAGAAGTTTGTTTTTAAAAATGGATCCAATGATCTTTAGGAACGGACCACTAACTCTAATCAAATAAATTTTCTCAAATCTACTTTAGTGTAGATGAACAATTAGTTAATAAGATTAGATTCAATAATGTTAACTAGAAATTTTTAAAGTAGATAATATACAACCTTTGTCTGTGTACACATGTCATACCAAATTCTGATAATCCCTAAATGATTTTCAAGGATAAAAGTCTATAACATACCATAATTTTGGGAGAAGTGTAGAAATTATTCTAATTAAATATTTTAAAAGTTATTCAAGACAAAGTAATCAAAATTCCAAAAGAAGAAATAAAGTTATTCTTTTTAATGCCTATGTAAGAAACTAGGATGTTGAAATTTTTTTCAGTTAAGACAACTAGTATTTCCTTACCAGAAACACTTTCTAAGGTGTTTATTGATTAATCTAATTTTAGCATTCTGAATAGCAAAATAATATGACTCGCATAATAGATTTTTTTTCCTTTCAAAACAGAAGAGGATTGTTTGTTGAAGTTGTAGGTTGAGCCCACTAAATCTTAAAACACATTGCTTAGTGTGGGAAAATGATTTCAAGAGAAGGAACATCAAAAACATCATTTTTACATTAACTACTTAGTACACTGGCTACCAGAGAACCTTTGGTTTCAACACATATTAAGCTGAAATAATTTACTACCAAAATAAAAATTTTAAAGGTCCAATTGGAGTAAGACATTTTAAAGTTTAAAATTCAATCAATAAAATATAATTTTATTTTTCAATACTACTTAAATCCTAACTTTTTTTTATTATATCATTAATATACAATCACATGAGCAACATTGTTTAAATCCTAACTTTTCTTTATACTCAAATTACAATGCTACATTGTAGTATTATTTTCAAATAGCTATCACTCTGTACATTCAAAAATAGTAAAACATTTTAAATAATGAGACAGCTATTATATTATAAATAAAAACACACATACACACACAAACATCCAAACTCAACTCACAGTCAACTTTGAAAAATGAATAGGTAATTCTTTCAATGCCAAAGTTGTGTTGTTGTTATTATTATTATTATGGTAATATTGCAAAATAGGCTTCCAAGGAAGCATATTAAAACTATACTATGGAAAACAAATGTTCAATTAGTGATTTCTACTTGTTCTTTTCATTTGAATTTTCAGTTCATAAGATTATAGGCATTAAGACAAAACTAAATATAGTTGTATCTCTTGTTTTTCACTGAAGTCATTAGCTTCATAGGTCCACACCCTACGATTAGAAATTATCCACATGTGACAAATGTCAGTGAGGTAATCTAAGAAAATGTGTCTAATGAATTAGTACAAGCTACAGAAAAGTATGGTGATATATAACCACTTATACACAAGGTTCTAATACTGAAGAAAATTATGTAATTCCTCTAACCTACAATAGCCTTGTATTTTTAATGTAGAAAACAGAATCATTTCAATAAGCCTAATATCTTGAATGTTAATGCTTTATTTTCTGTAACACTAGTATTTTTCATATAAAATATTAAAAATTACTTCCACACAGAGGCTATACTTACAAAAGCCATCAGAAGTACTTAGGGAATTTATCCAATGCTTTTTAGTTAGGAAAACTATTGATTACTGCCATCATGGCTATAAAAAATCTAATTCTGTTTTAAATCTAGTGTTTTATTACTCATGCTCTTATTAATACCTTAAAATATTAGTTAATTCAAATATGCAATATTCACTGATAGTCACTAGGAACTAATAAAAGCAAACACTTTTTAGAGGCAAATATTAGTTACTATTTCAACTGTGAAAGGTCAGAATAGAGTTTATGATAAGAATAATGCAGCTAAAAAGGAAATTTGGTGTTTTCTATGGCATGCAAAACAAAGATAAGTAAGCCATCCCAAGCAAATTTTGGATACAATGTCTCCTATGATAATAATTAAACTATTTTTCAGATAGGCCTGTGAATATCAGATCTAATTTTATCTAATAACTGGATATAGTTTCTATGAAGAAAACTTCTTTAAGATTTAATATAATAATTCAGAAACACAATTTTTTAATACCAAGAATATCAAGTAAAGAGATTCAGAAAGTCCAGAGCAGTGCCCAGATTTCTGTATTTATAAAACTTCACAAACAAGTCTGATCTGCAATCTCAATTAAAAAGCACTGGCTTAGAAAATGCTAGATTCAAATTAAAGAAGTAAGGCTGTGGCCAACATTTTAATAATGAAATGATGACTGGTAACACTATGTTGTTGCTTAATGACATCAGAAAAAGTACCAGCAGGAATCTGATGTAGGAAAATTCTCCAGAACAATGTTCCAGATGGGGGTCAAGTTTAAAGCAAATCAAATATTAAGACTTACTGGGAAAGGACAATTTCAGCTGATGAGAAGAACAGCAATTCAGACAATCTATGAGTCTGACTAATAAAGGAAAACAACAGATCAGATTTCATTTCTTGTTTTAGTCAAAACTTAAATCCTAAAGACAGGTTTAACAATTTATTTGCAGAGGAGAGTTATTAATGATGTAGTTGAAGAGACACCAACCTTCACATCCACACACTGTGTATTACATATTATATATTATTTAATATTTATATAATATTTATATTTAACATAGTCTATGTACTTGAATCTTTTCATTGGAAAGATGACAAAGACAATGACAATGCTACTCATTTTATAAATGTTAATATATGAAAGGACCTAAAATTTTTAAAGTCAATTAAAAGATTTACCTTAGTGATTTCTTTCAAAGTAACAATATAAAATTTATTTAAAGGCAAAGGCTGGGTGTCTGTCATCATTAAATAAAAATCTGGTATTCAAGTGAACAATTTTCTCTGCCTACTCTTACTCAAGCAAAACATAAAACACCTTAGTTTAAGATTCAACTTTCAAGTCTAAATTCTGATTATGAGAATTCAGAAGCATAAAATTGATTCAAGGTACCAGTTCTTCAAGGATAATTCTTACATGCCTTACACAGAGAAAAAAGTAAGCCTCACTGATGTTCCTTGCTAATAACAAGTGAGTATTTGGCATTTTCTCTCCTACAAAAGGATGTGACCTAAGAAAAGCACTATGACCTAAAGGAAATTGACAGAAACTTACTCATAGCTGACAAGCTTCACAGGCTTAAAAATCTATCTACTGGCTTACCTTCATCTTTATATACCTTCCTAATTTTCATGCCCTGATCGACTTTTTCTTCTCTCCTCCAGTGTTATCTAAGTAATGATAGAATATTGATCTGGAGAATTGAAGAAAATGTTTTATAAAGATTCTTTATTTTCTAAGTGAACACAGCTATTATGTTTTAATATTTGACCTCATTTTCTAAACATGAAGTCATTAATTCAGAGTCTATCTATCTCCCCATCACCAGGATGCTGATATTTCTATCATCACCAGTGTCAAGAAACAGAAGCAAATAGGAAGCTCTTCAAAGACAACAAATTTTGAAGGTTGTCTGAGATATTATCTTCATATCAACTGAAATGTCCACTGGTTATTCCATTTTAATGATATTGTTAACTTCTCCCATTTTACAATATAGAAATATTTTCAATGGATAACATTTAAATAGACCAGAATTCCCCAAAGTATATCTTTCCAGTGATTTTACCTAGTGATTTTTTAATTCAATGTGCTAAAATGTTTAAATGAGGAACATATTATTCAGCTAATGGTTCTACTGTATTTGTTTATTAGATAAACTTTTTAAGTTCTGTTCTTCCAGACTGTTGACAAAGATTTTCCTTGAAGTTCTATATTTTTGGCTTTTCCTTTTTGGAAAAAGTATAAAAATTCTACTGTCCTGACATCTACTGTTAGTCTATGTAGGGTATCTATTTTACTGTGAACAGAGCTGCTTCTTATTTGTGCTATAAAATGAAGACTGCTTGTCCAATTACCCCATCTAAAAAGCAGCAAAGTAAAACACCATAAATCTAGGAATTTTTCCCTGATAAACTTTTTGTAACTTATAAGCATCCAAAATGACTTCCAAAACCAGTATTAAATGGCCTTAAAAATAACAAAGGCATCCTTATACCAAAATCCCTGGAAGAGAACTTTTTAAAGTTTTGATTTAGAAATCATTTTTCCAAAAATCAACTTTTAAAATGCCAAAAATCAATCGTGTTGGTTCTGCTGACTTGAAACCTATGAAAATGAGTAAGGTAAAAAAGGAAATAGAATGAAGTAAACTCATAGAAGCAGTAAGTCTCAGTAAGTCATCATTATGTCTACTGATTTATTTTGAGACATTTTCACCACAAACTCCTGAAGTCCTCAAGAAGGAAACCTTCACATTTACTTATGTTCTACTTTACACTCACTGCACTAGTTTATTTCAGTATTGTTCACCTAAACATAACTTTTTTTTCTGAATAAACCAGAGGATTTTAAGTAATTGGAAAGAAAATTCTTATACAACCTTTCATTAGTCTTGACTCAAATAGATCTAATCTATTCAAAAAGCTTCCCAAAAAGAACCCTTTACATCTTAAAAAAATTTTACTCACTCACAGGATTATAAAGAAAAGAGTATTAGATATTGTGGGCAACAGGGAAGAGTTGAAGAGGGAAAAGATTCAGCTGAGAAAACAATCGGATGTAAAGAAATTTATGATTTGTGGAATAAAAGCAATATTACTTTAAGAAGATAGTATTGCAAAAGCTTTTTTTTTCTGATCACATACCACTTTAAGAAAGCCACACAACCATTCACTCCTGAAAAAATGCAGTTAATATACAGACTTTTTGAATAATTTCGGGGGATTCTTAAATTCCTTAAAACCTATGGAATCTCAGATAAAGGACACTTATGGTTATAAAAGCTCTCTGACCTAACTCAAAAGAGAAGCTTATAAAAGCACTAGGTTTAACAGTCCCTTTGAATTCCAAAATATATCTATTCGCCTTTAATTTTATAATCTTGAATAGTAAAGCAAAATATATCATTTAGCTATGTATAATAAAATTCACTGTAATTCTAAAATTTATATATAGCATGAAATAAGAAATGCACATTTAAAAATACCACTATATCTAAAGACTAGTTTAAGTTATGCCTATACTTTTCAATTCATTCGTCAATCACACAGAAGTCCTAGGGAAAAACTTAATATATTTGTGTTTCATTGCTGACACTTTAATTTCTGGGGGAAAAATCACAGTACTTGCTTAGTAAAGAAAAAGCCAAGAAAATTCAAACTTTGTAGATACAAATTGTGCTGCAAATTCTACTTAAAATGACCCAACTGTCAAAATCATAATGAACATTTTTCCTTATTTATGCTACTAATAAAATACATCTACAAAATGTATCTCTAGGTTCTCTTATTCCCTTACACTTGATTACTTAAGGAAAATAATACATTTCACTAAAATCTCATTAGTAATGTGCTAAATAGTAGTGGAATGTGCCAGTGTACCAGTTTCAATAGTTTATTTTCAACCCATCATGAAAACTTGGAATTTATACTGTTTTAAAATCCCGTTATGAAACAGATTCTTTTAAAATATTACTCATTCAGGAGTTCCATAAATAAACTGATGGTTTTTAAAATAATGGTCAGTAAATAGGAAAATTATTAACTAAAGGATGTATGGAAAGCCATGTCTCTCAACTGTCCCATTATTTGTACTCTTTTGTGGAAATAACTTAAATTTTTCTGTTAAGAATAATAAACAAATTGAACTTAACTTCTTCATTTTTAGAAGTTTGTTTTTAAAAATGGATCCAATGATCTTTAGGAACGGACCACTAACTCTAATCAAATAAATTTTCTCAAATCTACTTTAGTGTAGATGAACAATTAGTTAATAAGATTAGATTCAATAATGTTAACTAGAAATTTTTAAAGTAGATAATATACAACCTTTGTCTGTGTACACATGTCATACCAAATTCTGATAATCCCTAAATGATTTTCAAGGATAAAAGTCCTTGCAACATTTCAGACAGTTGAGAGATGTGGTTAAAGTGACAAAGAAGTAAGTCGAAAGTTTCAGTTATCCATGACAGAATATGGAAATAACAATCACTTGGAATCTTGAGTATTATATTCAGTTTCTCCAGCTGAAATCTGGCTGAGCCGCTTGCTAGATCCCCACAATTTTCGAGAAAGCTGACCTGAGCGCATCTGTTTAAAGTAATCCAGAGAAATGAAGAATAGATGTTATTAAGAAAGCAAGAAAAAAAATGAATCAAATTTACATACAAGACATTGATTTTATAGAATACAGAGAAAATGTTTTGTTAGCAGAATTATTAACATGTTTAATGATTCTTGATTAATTATAGGTAAAGAAAGGCTTTTCTACATTGATTGTCTTTCAGTTGTAAAAGGTCTAACAGCAATATGTAAATTTTAAATGAAATATCCCAGTTATGTCAAAATTACCAGATCCCCTCCTTTATTAATTAACAAAAATGTATTTCACTTCATTAAAATAGTATTCTTAAATTATACTTAATCTAGCTAATGAAACACATACATTTGAGGATTTTCTCCTTTTGTATTTGCAGTACTATTAATGTCAATCACAAGGGTAATAAGTAAAATAATATTTTGAAAATAAATTTGGAAGTATTCTGATATAAGAATTTAAAAATACATGTAGCAAGAGAAAGATGAAAAGTAATTTAGAAAATAATAGCATAAGCTCTTTAAAGATAAGAATCACTTGTCTACCATTAAATCTGTACCACTTAGCATACTTCTCAGTATATAATAATTATTAATTAAATATTAACTGAATCAGTGAATAAAGCCCCTCTAAAAGTGCTTACATATCTAGGTAGGGCAAAAACCCCCACACAGGAAACATTTTTCAATCTAGCCATATGATTTGTTGTAGTTACTATCCCAAGTACAAACTTTTTATTGATGATCATCTGCCATCCTTTTTTAATTATTACTTTCTAGGGTACATTTATTGGAGTGATAAAAGACAAGCCTCATGCAAAGACACTTTGCCATGCTTGTTTTTCATTTTCATTTCTAGATGTATTTCCAGAAACATTATTTCCATTAACCTACTACCACTTTACCACCTGATTTATAAATACGAATTTCATACTGACAGTCTAATATATAAAAACTGACATGATTTAAAAATACACATTAATCAAGATTTTGAACTTTTAGATAAAAATAGATCTTGAAACAAATATTTTCACAACTAAGTGCTGGTCTAATTAATGTCTACACTGTCATAGAATTATATTTTAATTATATAAGATTTTAAGTATTCAGTTAGATTATTTACTACTTCAGCTAGTACATTCAAAGATGAAAAACTGATAAAAAATACTTGTACTCCAAATCTGTACACAATTCAGATTGTATGTGTAATAGATCTGTCAATGAGGACAAAAAACTATTTGATAAATACTACTGAACATTGGTTTAGGCCTATGAAATGAATCTGCTTAGATGTTTTTTTCCCAAATTAATCTTTATAAGAAAATGTGTGCACATAATGATTCATTTGAAAAGATTCAGTGATATCAGAAACTGACAAATTATCTTACGTAGGGGGAGGGTAGCCAAGTTGAAAAGTCACTTGAGTAAACCTCAGAAAGCGAAATATATTTGCAGTGAATCTGAACAGAGTTCTTAAACATTATTTTAGCATAGAACAGGAGGGCAATATTTATTTAAGAAGATAATCAAGAAATTATATTACTTAAAATGCTTAAATTGTTTTAAATATAAATGAAACACCAATATATATACTTCCTGAGGTTGTCTGGAAGACTGTTACACACCTGAAAGTAAATATTGTTGCAATTGTGTTAATAAGACCTCTCTTTCATTAAAATAATATTCTGAAAGAGTATGAAACTAACAAAATCTTAAGGAAAAAAAGGTTCCTATGATCTATGATGGATTTATTAGAAACATTGACAGTGTGTTATTCAGTAATGTCTTCTCTAGAAATAATAACCCTTAGATATGTCATGTTTTAGATTTCTCAGAAGAGACTGATGGCTTCAATAAAAATTTACATTGCTTAATTTGACTCTATGTAATAAGAGTAATTTTCTAGACAATCACTAAATTACTTAGTGGAGTAGAGCCACTAAATTTTCTTACAAATAGCATTAGATTTCTGATATATGAATATTTACTAATTGACAAGCCACTGAAAAATAAATTTACAGTAACTATAGGACACACATTGAGAATTAACATATTGTATGTGGGTACTTGTAGTTCCAAGTAAAAAATAGTGTTTTTACATAAGGACAACTGACATACAGTTATGCTGGGTATTTGTTGAAATTAAATAGTTTCATTAAGTTTATATTTCATTTCTTATAAAAGCTTTTATCAAAAATCCAAGCAGTGGTTTTGAAACAAGATTTAGAAAGGTAGAGAAAAAAGTAACTTTCTTATTCATATAGAATAACAGAAGGACACTGCCAAATGTGTGCTTTCAATTATAGCACAATATAAATATCACTGTTGAATACTAGCTTTATTCCTTCTTCATTCACTACCCTTTGAAAAATCAAACTTGTTTTTTAATTTGTTTATCCATAATGGAGACTTCTGATTCAGCTGGAATGAAGAACCACCAAAGGAATCCCCAACAGTACGAGAAATGAAATTCTTGATGCTACGTTTTACCTCAGCTGGCTTGCCAACACCCACAACAATCAATTTGCCATCTTCTAATCCTACAAGAATATGGCTGTATTCTTTGGTTACACAAACACAGTGGATAGGCGATCTCATGGTTAATGGGTCAATGGAGAGATCCAAGCTAGAAGAAAAATAGAACACACACACACACACACACACAATTACATGGATATATAGTAGATTCACAGAACTTTATTATCTGGAAGGTAACTATTCATTTAGTTGTGCCTTCTAATTTTACAGATGTGGGAACTTAGGTTCAGATGGACTCAGTGACTTATACAAGGGCCCACATTTATAGCAGTACTTAAAATACTTAATAGATATTTTCTCTATTCTAACATTTGTTTTTCTTATAACTATATACATAAGCCCTCACTAAAGGATTTTCACCTTGTTGATTACTGAATGTTAAGGTGGATAAAAAAGACAAAAGCTCAAAAAGTGTGTTTGTGTATGGAGGGATATCAAGATTTAGAAAGGTAGAGAAAAAAGTAACTTTCTTATTCATATAGAATAACAGAAGGACACTGCCAAATGTGTGCTTTCAATTATAGCACAATATAAATATCACTGTTGAATACTAGCTTTATTCCTTCTTCATTCACTACCCTTTGAAAAATCAAACTTGTTTTTTAATTTGTTTATCCATAATGGAGACTTCTGATTCAGCTGGAATGAAGAACCACCAAAGGAATCCCCAACAGTACGAGAAATGAAATTCTTGATGCTACGTTTTACCTCAGCTGGCTTGCCAACACCCACAACAATCAATTTGCCATCTTCTAATCCTACAAGAATATGGCTGTATTCTTTGGTTACACAAACACAGTGGATAGGCGATCTCATGGTTAATGGGTCAATGGAGAGATCCAAGCTAGAAGAAAAATAGAACACACACACACACACACACACAATTACATGGATATATAGTAGATTCACAGAACTTTATTATCTGGAAGGTAACTATTCATTTAGTTGTGCCTTCTAATTTTACAGATGTGGGAACTTAGGTTCAGATGGACTCAGTGACTTATACAAGGGCCCACATTTATAGCAGTACTTAAAATACTTAATAGATATTTTCTCTATTCTAACATTTGTTTTTCTTATAACTATATACATAAGCCCTCACTAAAGGATTTTCACCTTGTTGATTACTGAATGTTAAGGTGGATAAAAAAGACAAAAGCTCAAAAAGTGTGTTTGTGTATGGAGGGATAAGATCAATAAAATTAGTGTATTTGCTTTGTCTAAAAAGACAAAATATGTGATACATATGTATAAAATATATATATAACATAAAATATAAAATAATAAATAACATATAATATCTAAAAATATAGTGATACAAAAATAAACACCTCATTATGAAAAAGGCCACAGCTATTATGATTAGAGAATGAAAACTCTTATGATGTATATACTATGATTTAGACTAAACTGCTAAAAGATCCCTTTAGTTTTCTAATCTGGGATTTTCCTAATAATACCCTGGTTAGAAAAACATGACCAGAATGGGCACTTTATGCTCTACCACAGGAGAAAGAATGACAAAAATGAGAAGCAAAATACAAAAAATAGGAAGGAATGTTGGTACAAAAGTGTTTCTGACATGAATGCAGTAAGACATAACACCCTGAATCAGGGAATCATTTCTAAGAAAGGTTTGGGAGCTAGAGGAGATTCAAGGGGGGAGCATGAGAGGTAAGACAGAGAACTCCTTCCAAAACTAGAAATAGTAAGAAAATACAGTTAATTAATACAACTAACCTTAAAACAGCAACAGGAAAGAAGGCTAAACCAGACTGCATACAGACCTCATGAACAGAGCAGACCTCATGTAACAGGGTAACTATCAAAGCCTTAATCCAGCAGGACCTGAGCCCTTCCTCCACCCCAGCTCACCGGTGGGAAGAAGAGAAATGGAGTGGGGAGAGGGTGGAAGCCTGGGACTGCTGAACACCTGGCCCTGGAGATCTGCTTTGCAAACAGAAACCTATACTATGCAGTGCTCTGGATGTTGGGGAGCTAGGACAGGCAGAGTGCCAGAGAGAATGACATTCCGGCCGTTTGTGGAGGACAGGATCAACATCCGTCCACTCTGTGACAGAGGAAAGGCAGGCAGTCTGAGAGGCTTTCTAGCAGTGAGAGGGCTGCTGAAGGGGTGGAGTTTGCATGGAGCTTGCTGTGCGGGAGAAGGGAGAGCTGGACAAGGTTGGATGAGTGCGCTGTGCCTAGAAGATGGGGAACTTTCAGGAGCTTCAGAGGCTCCATTCCCCTGGCTGGATGCTCAGCTCTGAGGCCCCCCACTGTGACAAGCAGCCTGCAGAGCCTTCCTCCTGGCCTGAGACCACTGGCTCGCAAACTGGCAGTCACTGCGCTGGCATCAGGCCAGCCAGAGGGAGGTCCCCCCCCTTACAACAGGTAGAGACACTGAGCAGAGAGGCTTACACCTGTGAGCTCGGCCCACTGGCTGTGATACTGGAGACAGACAACGCAGATGTGTAAATGGAATAGAAACTAGAGAAGAGGAATACAAAGAAGCTGAGGCACAGAGAGAAAAAAGAATCTCTAAGAATGAAAGAATATTGAGAGAACTGTGTAAACAATCCAAATGGAACAATATTCACATTATAGGGGTACCAGAAGAAGAAGAGAGAGAAAAAGGGATAGAAAGTGTCATTGAGGAGGTAATTGCTGAAAACTTCCCCAATCTGGGGAAGGAGATAGTCTCTCAAGTGATGGAGGTGCACAGATCTCCCAACACAAGGGAAACAAGGAAGACAACATCAAGACATAATAATTAAAATGGCAAAGATCCAGGATAAAGACAGACTTTTAAAAGCAGCTAGAGAGAGAAAAATGATCACATACAAAGGAAAACCCATCAGGCTATCATCATATTTCTCAACAGAAACATTACAGGCCAGAAGGGAGTAGCATGATATATTTAATGCAATGATGCAGACAGGACCTGAACAAAGAATACTCTACCTGGCAAGCTTATCATTGAAATTTGAAGGAGGGATTAAACAATTTTCAGATAAGCAAAAGCTGAGAGAATTTACCTCCCACAAACCACCTCTACAGTACATTTTGGAGGGACTCCTATAGATGGAAGTATTCCTAAGGCTAAACAGATGTCACCCAAGAGACAGACAAAGAGTACAGAATATGATTCATAACATACAAAGAATGGAGGAGGAGGAAAAAGAAAAAGGAGGGAAAAAAAAAAAAACCTTTAGGGAGTGTTTGTAATAGCATACTAAGTGAACTAAACTAGACTGTTAGATAGTAAGGAAATTACCCTTGATCCTTTGGTAACCACAACTCTTAAGCATGCAATGGCAATAAGTACATACTTATTGATAATCAACCTAAATGTAAATGCTCTGAATGCACCATCAAAAGACATAGAGTCACTGAATGGATAAAAAAACAAGATGCTGCCTACAAGAGACTCACTTCAAACCCAAAGACATACACAGACTGAAAGTAAACGGATGGAAAAAGATATTTCATGCAAATAATAGTGAGAAAAAAGCAGGAGTTGCAGTACCTGTATCAGACAAAATAGACTTCAAAACCAAGAAAGTAACAAGAGACAAAGAAGGACACTACATAATGATAAAAGGGTCAGTCCAACAAGAGGATATAACTATTATAAATATCTATACACCCAATAGGATCACCTACATAGGTGAAACAAACACTAACAGAATTAAGGGTGGAAATAGAATGCAATGCATTCATTTTAGGAGACTTCAATGCATCGTTCACTCCAAAGGACAGATCAACCAGAGAGAAAATAAGTAAAGAGACACAGGCATTGAACAATGTATTAGAGCAGATGGACCTAATGGACATCTACAGAACACTCCATCCAAAAGCAACAGGATACACATTCTTCCCAAGTGCACATGGAACATTTTCAAGTATAGATCATATACTAGGCCACAAAAAAAACCTCAGTAAATTCAAAAAGACTGAAATTTTACCAACCAGCTTCTCAGATAACAAAGGCATGAAACTAGAAATAAATTACACAAAGAAAACGAAAAAGCCCACAAACATGGAGGCTTAATAACATGCTCCTAAATAATCAATGGATCAATGACCAAATAAAAACAAATCAAGCAATATATGGAGACAAATGACAACAATAATTCAACACCACAAAATCTGAGGGACACAGCGAAGGCTGTGCTAAGAGGGAAATATATTGTAATAGAGGTCTACATCAGGAAAGAAGAATAATCCCAAATGAAGAGTCTAAACTCACAATTAATGAAACTAGAAAAGGAAGGGCAAATAAGGTCCAAAGTCAGTAGAAGGAGGGACATAATAAAGATAAAGGAGACGTAAATAAAATGGAGAAAGAAAGAATCAATGAAAGCAGGAGCTGGTTATTTGAGAAAATAAACAAAATAGATAAAACCCTAGCAAGACTTATAAAGAAAAAAAGAGTCTACATACATACACAGAATCAGAAATAGAAATGAAAAATCATGAAAGGACACCACAGAAATACAAAGAATTATGAGAGAATACTATGAAAAATTATATGGTAACAACCAGACAACCTAGAAAAAATGGACAACTTTCTAGAAAAATACAACCTTCCAAGGCTGACCCAGGAAGAAACAGAAAACTAGCAAAGAAGTTGAATTGGTAATCAAAAAACTACCTTAAAACAAAACTCCTGAACCAGATGGTTTCACTGCTGAATTTTATCAAACATTTAATGAAGACCTAATACCCAACCTCCCTAAAGTTTTCCAAAAAGTAGAAGAGGAGGAAATACTCCCAAACTCATTCTTCAAGGCCAATATCACTCTAATACCAAAACCAGGCGAAGACACCACAAAAATAGAAAATTACAGACCAATATCCCTGATAAATACAGATGCAAAAATACTCAACAAAGTATTAGCAAACCGAATTCAAAAATACATCAAAAAGATCATTCATCATTATCAAGTGGGATTCATCCCAGGGATGCAAGGATGGTACAACATTCAAAAATCCATCAACATCATCCATTACATCAACAAAAAGGACAAAAACCACATGATCATGTCCATAGATGCTAAAAAAGCATTTGATAAAATTCAACATCCATTCATGATAAAAACTCTCAACAAAATGGGTATAGAGGACAAGTACCTCAACATAATGAAGGCCATATATGACAAACCCACAGTCAACATTATACTTAACAGTGAGAAGCTGAAAGCTTTTACTTTAAGATTGGGAACAAGACAAGGATTCCCAGTCTCTCCACTTTTATTCAACGTACGTCTGGAGGTCCTAGCCATGAAAATTAGACAACACAAAGAAATAAAAGGCATCCATTTTGGAAAAGGAAGAAGTCAAACTGTCCCTGTTTGCAGATGACATGATATTGTACATAAAAAACCCTAAAGAATCCACTCCACAATAACAGAATATCTGAATTCAGCCAAGTTGCAGGATACAAAATTAATACACAGAAATCTGTTGCATTCCTATACACTAACAGTGAAATAGAAGAAATAGAAATCAGGAAAATAATTCCATTCACAATTAAATCAAAAAGTATAAAATACCTAGGAATAAACCTAACTGAGGAAGTGAAAGACCTATACTCTGAAAACTACAAGACACTCATAAGAGAAAATAGATACCAATAAATGGAAACACATTCTGTGCTCATGGATAGGAAGAATTCATATTGTCAAAATGGCCATCCTCCCTTAAGCAATCTACAGATTCAAGGCAATCCCTATCAAATTACCAACAGCATTCTTCAATGAACTAGAGCAAATAGCTCTAAAATTCATATGGATCCACTAAAGACCCCGAATAGCCAAAGCAATCCTGAGAAGGAAGAATAAAGCAGGGGGAATTACACTCCCTGACTTCAAGCTCTACTACAAAGCCACAGTAATCAAGACAATTTAAAACTGGCATAAGAACAGGCCCACAAACCAGTGGAACAGACTAGAGAGCAGAGATATAAACACAACCATATACGGTCAATTAATATATGATAAATGAGCCATGGATATACAATGGGAAAATGACAGCCTCTTCAACAGCTGGTGTTAGCAAAACTGGACAGCTACATGGAAGAGAATGAAACTGGATTATTGTCTAACTCCATACACAAAAGTAAACTCAAAATGGATCAAAGACCTGAAAGTAAGTCATGAAACGATAAAACTCTTTAAAAAAATATAGGCAAAAATCTCCTGTACATTAACATGAGGAACTTCTTCATGAACATATCTCCCTGGGTAAGGGAAACAAAAGGAAAAATGAACAAGTGGGACTATATCAAACTAAAAAGCTTCTGTACAGCAAAGGACACAATCAGTAGAACAAAAAGACATCCTACAGTATGGGAGAATATATTCATAAATGACAGATCCGATAAGGGGTTGACATCCAAAAGAGCTCACACACCTCAACAAACAAAAAGCTAATAAGCCCATTAAAAAATGGGCAGAGGAGCTGAATAGACACTTCTCCAAAGAAGAAATTCAGATGGCCAACAGGCACATGAAAAGATGCTCCACATCCCTAATCATCAGAGAAATGCATATTAAAAACCACAATGAGATATCACCTCACACCACTTAGGATGGCCAATATCTAAAAGATAAACAACAAATGCTGGTGAGGATGTGGAGAAATGGGAACCCTCCTCCACTGCTGGTGGGAATGTAAACTAGTTCAACCATTGTGGAAAGCAGTATGGACATTTCTCAAAAAACTAAAAATAGAGATACCATTTGACCCAGGAGTTCCACTTCTAGGAATTTACCCTAAGAATGCAGGAGCCCAGTTTGAAAAAGAAATATGCACCCCTATGTTTATTGAAACACTATTTACAATAGCCAAGAAATGGAAACAACCTATGTGTCCATGAGTAGATGAATGAATAAAGAAGATGTGGTACATATACACAATGGAATATTATTTAGCCATAAGAAGAAAACAAATCCTACCATTTGCAAAAACAAGGATGGAGGTACAGGGTATTATGCTCAGTGAAATAAGTCAGGCAGACAAAAGTATCAAATGATTTCACTCATCTGTAGAGTATAAGAACAAAGAAAAAACTGAAGGAACAAAACAGCAGCAGACTCACAGAACCCAAGAATGGACTAACAGTTACCAAAGGGAATGGGATTGGGGTGGATGGGTGGGAAGGGAGGGATAAGGGAGGAAAAGGGTAATTATGATTAGCATGTATAATGTACGGGGGGACACAGGGAAGGCAATATAACACAGAGAAGACAAGTAATGATTCTATAGCATCTTAGTAGGCTGATGGACAGTGACTGTAATGGGTATGCATTGGGGACTTGATAATAGGGGGAGTCTAGTAAACATAATGTTGTTCATGCAATTGTACATTAATGATAGCAAAATAAAAAAAAAAAAGGAATTGTTTGGGAGGGGCCAAGATAATTGGAGGAATGTAAATAAAACCACAATAATTTTTTTTAAAGAGGAAGGTAAGAAAAAAATATATTTGTGCATACAGGAATAACAGTGATTTACATATATAAGCTAGTATATATGAGTAATACGAAAGTTAAAAACATATGCAGCATTGAAACATCCTTCTCTTGCACTGGTTAAGTAACAGATGACCTCCCACCAATTTTACACACATACACACAATCATGAACAGATGTTAGCTTTAAAACACTTCAGTTTGTTTTACCAAAATTAAAAAAAAAAATTTTATATCCCAACTTTAGTTTTGGAAAGACAAATTTCTAAACCCATAATCCAGGCTTAAAACTATGAAAAAATTTTTGCTAGCTCTCCATTGAAAAAAAATTTAATTGTGGTAAAACATACATAACAAAATTTTTCACATTTCTGAAATGTACATATATATTTTATTTACTAATCCAGGAATACTTTGGCTTCCCCACTTTTTTTCATAGTTGCCTAAAAAAGACATGTTCATAATAAATGAAAAACCAAAAGCTTAGCAATCTTAGATTGCTGATTCTATTCTAGGCAGAAAAAATTGTTATTATTTACCTGTGTAGATCTCTTATGGACAGGAACCCTTGTAAGCTGCCTGTGACAATGTGTTCGCCAATTATACATATATCTGATACTTGTTCCATGAGGACTTGAGACCCTAGATACTTGCCATTTACAGAAAACAGATGTAATGCATTCTTATCCTGTGATGATCAGATGAAGAAAATTTAATGATCTCAAATTAAAACTGAGTTTTAGCACTGTCAATTAAAACTGTGACTATAATAGAATGATTTGGTTTAAATTTTATAATAAACGTATATTTATATTTAAAGATGAAGGTGTAAATAATATTATTAAAGTGATTTCAAATCAGAAGTACATATTTATAATATTTAAGTAATTGCCAAGTAAATATTAAACAAGAACTCTCACCCCTCTAAAAGAATTAAAATCTTATCTAGTCTTTAAAAAAACCAACAATCTTAGAACAAAACAAAAAAGACTTTCTTAATTTTTAAAAAGCTTATCATTGAAAGGAAAAAAAATGTAATTCATGGCTTGTTTTTTTATTCCCTCGTGCAAAAATAATGTGGTTATAATTTCCTTTAAGCTTATGAAGTTCCACATAATCAGAAAATAATATTTGAAATGGTGTATTATATAGGCCAGTAGAAATTCCTAAAATAAAATTCAAACATGAAGTTAAGATTGTGATAGGGGTCCATCTAATGGTAAGTAATGAAGAAACTGAATGATGAAAGGAAAATATTCTTTTTAAAATATAATATTCTTTCCGTTCTCAAAAATGCCTCATATATTCAACATGGGAAGGAAGAGACAAGCTTATAGATGGTCTAGCCCTACTGCATGAAACTGTTATATACCTTGAGGTTGATCTGTTCTTCAATGCTGGAGTAGATGACAATATGTCCCTCCCAAGATATAGCCAAATTGGGAATGGTCAGGAGTAGAGAACTCTCGCAAGGTGGTCGTAAAGTCCTCATGTACTGACCTTTCTGAATGGTATGTATAATCACAGTGCCGTCCTATGCATAGAAAATACAAGAAAATGAAAGAGGCAAAGGAAAAGAACAACAACAAAGAATAAAAGAAAATGGGCCATATAAGAAATATAGGAAAGGAACTGAGAAAATGAAAATGATTATTACACCAAGGATACATGTAGCTTGGGATAAATTCCAATCTTGATATTTCAAACAGTATTTTATTTCATAAAATGCCCTTCTCCCTTAGCTAATAAAACCAGTAAAATCCCCAAATAGAATCCAGTTTAAGTCTTTTCTTTGTTTTATTCTAGTTTTGCAAACTCTTATGCAAATATAGTATAAAGTTCATATACTTTTTATGAATTCCCCTAGAAAAAAAATTTAAACACAAATATTGCTTCTGAATTTGTAGAAAAATAGTACTCTTAAAGGTGAAATCTTACCCTTGATCCTGATACTGCCATGTCTAGCTCAGTGCTGATGCCAACACTCAATACCTCATCAGTGTGTCCATATAGAATCTGAAAGGGTTTAGATGCTAAACCCACAGGAATGCCTCCCTAATATTAAAACAGAAAAGCAAAGGTAATTTTTTTTGTAGGCTATTTTCTATACACTTTATTTAAACTGTCTAATCACAAACCAACATGGCAACTACTTCTTAACCACTAAGTCTATTCAAAGCAGTACTCATTCCTGTGTTACTCCTTAGGTTCTCAAATTATTCTGTCTTTTGAAACTGAAAAACTTAATTTGAATAGTTTTAAAATTGATTGCTTTGGATTAACTTTAACAGCTGTATTATTTACCCTTTTCATCTATACATGTATTCATTCATTACCTCAAAGAACCTTTTTGTATTATATCTCTGAATGGTTTCTCTTTTCTGTTTATTAGAGTCCCTATTTCAAGGACATTGATTACGTTTATGTTAATTTGTCTTTGATTTCTATAGCTCTCTTTTTCTAATTGCTTCAATATGTTTATGTTTTCACTTGTACTCACTTTATTTTAAATTTCCTTCCATGCTAATAATTTGATTTTCAGCTCCATCACATTTGTTCCTTGCTGTTTCTACTTTGGGTCTATTTATTATATTTGTAATGGAATTGATTTTAACCTCAGTTTGAGTCTTCTGCAGTTCCCCTTTTCATCTTACTATGCCATTTTATAATTTCATCTTTGAGGTCCTATTTTATTGAGTTGATATTCTTACGTTTTCTAATAGCACAATTTTATTGAGGGAATTTCTCTGCCTTGTTTTCTTCACCTGACTTTACCATAATTTGTATGTAAATACTACTTTCTATGATACAGAATGTTTCAGTAGTTGCCATGGAAACTGTTTTATGATTACTCTACATAACTCTGTCTAGACCTTCTACTTGTGCTCTATAATATGGATTCAACCACACTGTGGCTGAATGCCCCTTGACAATCTATTACCTGGGACACTTTGTCTTCCTCTAAGACTGTCAGTCTGAGTGCTTACTGTACTTTAATTTTTAAAAATCAGGTAATTCCCATATTATTTACGCAATGCAAGTTACAGAGAAAGATAGACTCTTTACAGATTCATTTTATAAAGTTTGCATAACCCAATACTAAACATGGTAAAGACAAAGAGACTTATTTCACTTATGAGAGAAATAATAAAGTATTAGTGAATAAATTACTGCAGTAAAATATAATAATACACCATAAGTTAAATGGGTTTGTTATAGAATTCAAAGATGGTTCAAGCTGAGGACACTTCTTAACATAATACATTACATTAAGAAAAAGAGAAAAACTGAATAAAAAAGGAAGAGAAACTGGGGGAAATAGCTGTAAAGAACATAATTGTGACTCCTGACAAAATTAGAATTTGACTGTGGATTAGATAACAGTATTGTATGTATGATAAGTATTCCGACTTTGATGACCACACTGTGGTTAAGTAAAAGAATGTCTCTATTCTTAAACAATACACACTGAAGTATTTAGAAACAAAGGAACAGAATGTCTCCAACTTTTAAATTGTTCAGAAAAAAAATAAGGTGCTAGGAGATAGATTAGGAGAAAATGATATGATAAATAGCAAAAATATACAATTTTTGTAACTTTCCTATAAATTGAAATTTTATGAAAACTAAAAGTTACCAAAAGAAAAAGAAATAGAAGCAAGGAAACTAACGTTAATATAAAAAAGCACAACCAATGAAATCCAACAGCAAAAAGTATATACTAAATGGAGCAATAGTGAAGGCACTTTGAATAAAATCAGACATAAGATAGGGATGATCTCTGTAATTTTCTTACTTTATTGCATTAGCTAATTATGTAATAGGATAGGAAAGTGAAATAATTAGCATATTGGAAAAGATAAAGAAAACCATTTTCATTTTCAAATTATGATTGTATATCTAACTTATTTTCAGAAAACCCAAGAAATACTAATATTATAAGAGCTGGATAAGAAGATTTGGTAAACTGTTCAGATACAAGATAACTGTATAGAAATCAATAGCTTTTTAAATATTAGCTGTAGCAGTCAGAAATAAAAATGATTTAAAAATCCCACCAAAATAGTAGTAAGAGTGATAATTAGAAGTAACTATGACAAAGTAGAAGACTAAATGGGAAAAAAATTTATTATAAATTTTTATGAAAGGACATAAATAAAAATCTGAAACAAATATGGAAAGATACTTCCTATTTCTAGATAGGAGCAATTATAAAAATGTCAATCTATACCAAATTAACATATAAACTGAATATAATTTCATTAGACTACAATGGAGTTTTTAAAGAGGACATAGTTAAAATATTTTTAAAGATCATATGTAAAAATAAATACTCATATAAGCATAGTCAAGGACTTTTTTTTATAAAGGCAACACTATGAGGGAGACTTGCCTTACCAAATATTCAACAATTAAAAAAGTTTCAGTGTTGACATAGATATAGGTAGGTGTGAAAGATTAAGAAATCTAGAAAAAGATGCAATTCAGTGGGTAATCATTTATGCTGGCATAAAGAACTTTCCACCTAGAAGTAAACAAAAATCAGATATTTTTATATTATATATCTATGTCTGTATATATTCTATTTTTCTCTATATATCTATTATAAAATACAGAAAAAATAATCACCAGTAGATTAAAAATTGAAATGTAAAAAAAAATTGTATTACAAGAAAATTTTCAGATATTTTTATAAGTTTGGAGTGGGAAAAAGCCTGTTAAGCAAGGTAGAAAATACAGAAGCTATTAAAAAAAGATACTTTCCAGAACCAAAATTATTATGAGAGTAATATAAGACTGATGAAAATTATAAAATTGTATAATAGTCCTACCTGAAAAGAAAACAGTATTATTATGTTAATGAGACCAGAAAAATACTGTTTTCCTAGAGAGATTAACAGGAAGAGTTTTTGGAAAGTCATACGAGATAAGGTCATGAATCACATAATAAACCTAAAGGAAAAATCATGATTAAAACATGATAGAATGGGGGTAAAAGAATGCAAAGGCGCTCATATATTCATTCAATGCAGAGAAAAATTCACTGCTCTTTCAGAACACCTTAACAGCATTCCCACAGTGAACATCTGATCTAAACCGAGAGTATTTACATGTGTGACTACCTGTTGCGTTATTTGCCATATCATACATGTAGTATCTCTGGAACCAGAAATCAAATGTATTCCACAGTAATCTGTAGCTAAACAAGTCACAATATCTGTAAGAAAAAGGAATTAAGAAAGATGAAATGGCTTGGTTTTGCTGGACAGAAATATAAGGACAATTTTAGTTTATGTTCAAACTTTTACTAAATTGGTTGTGCTAGCAGGGAAAAATGTAGGAATGACATTGGAAAAGCATTGGGAAAGAGTAACACAGGAAAAAGGCAGTATTAAAATCATGTGGGAGAGCTTTCTTTGAGGCCACCCTCCTTTGAATCTTGGTAGGAGGTTAGGTAGCAGACTCCATTTCCTTTTCTTAATTAAGATGTATCAGGAAAAAATGTACTCAATGTTTTAATCTTATATTGAAGCCTGAGACTTAACACAGGTTAATTAAACAATTTTACCTCTTTCATGCTTTACTTTGAACAAAGTAACAGGGCAGTTGATGCCTTATTTAACTGTGGCATTTTTTTTTTACCGTTTTGTTTAAAAATTTTTATTCTGTCAACCAATTTTTAAAAAGACAGCCTAACAGCTTTCAGATACTATGAAGGTGTATTTAATTTATATGATGCTTATAATAACCCCCCCAAATTAGACACTATTAAAGAAAGCATAAAATATTCATAACACTGTTCTATCAGAAAGTTCACTCAGCTTCAAAGGTAAAATTTCATGTTTTTCATAAGGAGTATGTACTACTTCTATAGTTAGAAAAAACTGAGAAATTTTTGTTTTGGGGGAAAAAAGAGTTAATGCTTACCCATATGTCTAATATTGTGTGAAATAATTTTGCCTTTTATAAGTGACATCACTTGAATGCTATTATCCCAGTGTCCAGCACTGAAAAGCAACTTTGCATCATGTGATACTATAAACAGTTTAGAAGTAATCTCCAGCCCTGGAGCAAAAGGACCATTCATACTACGCTGAGTTCTGTAAATAGAATTAAATATTAGACTTTTTCTTAAAAGATCACTTACACTGATATCAACTGTTCTTTTAATCTTAAATCAAACTGTTCAATTTGAAATGTCTCTTAATAAGTGATGAGGACCTTTCAAAAATTGCATTGATATTATTCAGATTTTTCGCCAAACAGATATACATAACAAACAGTCTCAAGGGTTAAACATAAAGAAGTTAAAACTGGTGATAGTGTGAAAAAGATTTAAAATTCTGCCTTTCAAAGCCAATTTAGTAAACAGCAGCTGCAAAGTCTAAACTACAAGGTAAAGATATGACAGGATCAGGGAAGTTGGAAATAAACTGAGACCAGGAATCTACTATATAGGCAAATAAATATATATCTAACAATACTCATGAAGATAATTTTCCATCCCAACCAAAGCAAGCATATGATGTTTCCTACTGAATACCTGTCAGCTAATTATTAGCCAATCTAGATTCTTCAGAAAGACACACAGAAATGAGAGCCAATTCTGACACTTCAGCTCTAGAACTTTACTATTCAATATTAATTTGATGAAGGTATGGTTTATGCTAAATCCTACATGGGATAAGAAGGGAAAAAGACACTGCCCCTAATAAACATACAACTAAAATAATTCAGGGTGAGGGAAACATCACTTTAACTTAGGATGCAACCTTTGGATATCTAAAAAATTAGCCAAGCTAAATAATAAATTACTATTACATAAAACACAAAGGCTTATTTGTAATATTGTACAATAAAAATACAATTAAGTCTAAATACTATTCCTGATAATTTTTGCTTCCATAGTGTTATTTTAGAAATTGTTTTGTCTTTAAGCTAATACCAAGTTAGGGGAGGGAATGAGGGAAGGAAGGAAACAGGGAAGAGAGAGGAAGAAAATCAAATGACTACAATATTACTTTCAAAATGACACCAATAAAAATTTAGTTGTTTTTCTTGGCAATAAAGTACTAGCTGTTTTGCTTTAAATATTCATTTACTTACTTGGGATTTGTCACAGTTTGATCCTTGATGAATGTAAAGTAATTAGAAATGTTTCTGTCATAAGGCAGCCATCCGTGGGTTCCAATAACATAATTCATACTTACTGTTATCTGGAAAAAGAACATGTGAATTTGAAGATTAAATGAAAGATTAAAGAAAGCAGCATAGAATAATCAAATGCTCACATGATGTTAACATTTATCATTTAGGGAATAATGTGGGATTATGAACTTAAAACATGAAACTCATTAAGAAGGTCTTAAACAATAAATTCTTTATCTTATTTTTATATTTATTTTTAGTTTATCTTCTATCTTATTGAAAGAAAATCTGTCCCATGTATCTTTCTTTGGTAAGATTATTTTCCTCATAATTTCTCAAAGTTTATTAGTCAGTAGTCTAATGAAAGCAGAAGTAATGAAAGGTCAAAAATATGATATAGATATTTAGAACATAAATCAGAAGTAGAATTTATGATGACTTGTTAAGGTCTCCCTTCTTAATGACAGTCATACCAAATATTTTCTTTTAAATAGGAAAAGTTTCCCCCTTGATTATGAAAGTTACAGATTGCAAAACAAAACAAAAAAACAACAAAGAACAGGTAACTTTAAAAAAGAGAGGTATTAAAGCTGAAAATAATTCTAAAAAGTACTTTCACTATTTTTCTCTTTCTTTTCTAAGCAACAAACAATATGCATAATTTGGAAGACATGTCTAATTATGTAATCTCACTACTCACAGTGATATAATCCATTTTTATCATTTTTATGTGACAAAATTAGAGTAAGATAGTCCTAAATTTGGTCCATGTGCCAGGGTCCCACGTACCTCACTTGCTAGCTCTGTGACTTTGAGCAAGTTAGTTCCGAGTTTTAATTTTTTCAGCTGCAGAAGGGAAATAGTAATAGTGCCTATCTTACGGGACTGTTAGGTGGACTAAATGACAAAAATCACGTAAAGCATGTATGCTTCAATCAATTCTGTATTCTCACTTTCATTATTTTTACTGCTTTATCATAAACTTTAATTTCTGATCAGGTGTGATATCCTATTTTTCTTGTACAAAATTTCCTGGTATTTTCATATACTTATTATTCTAGATACACTTTAGAATTATACTAACTACTTAAAATAAAAGCTGTGAAAATGAAAGATACATTTTTATACTTGGTCAAATTTTATAACATTTTCTCTTATTATTTTTGAAAAACCCTTTAAAAAAATTTTTATTCAATTACGTTGGTAAGTTGTACAGGATATAAGCATGACAATGTGATAAAAGTATAAATCAACATACCAGTAACTCAGGACTGCCTTGAGACATAAAAGAACGAGACTGATTTTTGGGGACAATGGCCTTTATAAGTGGAATATTGTCACTGATACCCTATAAAATAAAGACAAAGGTTTACTGTCTGGTTCTGCTTAGCTTTATTAGATACAAATTATTGAAAACTTTTATTTCTTTAAGCAAGAATGAACACTGTGATATATATTTTACTCTGTCAAAACAAAAGCATAACTGCTTTACATGGTATGTAACTTAAAATGCAGGAAAGGAATTAAACTATGTATGGATGGCATACTTGAAACTTGTGAAACCTACAACCTTATATTCCACTATTCTGCTGTTAAATAGACATGTAGATTTCAAGGAGCAAGAACCATTTAAAACAGCCAGTGAGTCAGGATCTTCCCTTTCCCCTTACCATACTAACATGAAAAGAAAGTAGAAAAAATATAGACCACATAAGAGTACATGTCTTAAGTAAGTCAAATAGGGAAACTGGTATTTTATAAAAATTTCCTTTTGAGTTTAACTTTCTAAAAATAGATGTATTCCATTAAATGAGGCATTCTCTGAAAGCTACAGCAGTAAGACTAGAAAATAAACATAGTCCTCAGAAATCTGCCAATATCTATTACAATGTGAAAGAGAAAAATAATTTGAACTGTTTCTTGATGTGACAATAGTTCACAAACTGAATCTAACATTTATTAGGTAAATTATAACCTATTATTGGATACAGAGTATGTGCCAGGCACTATTCTAAGAGTCTGCTTTCACTGCTACCTGCATTTTCTTCACCATTTTAACACCTAGGAAAAGACCTACGGAGAGGCCTTCTCTTTTCTTAAGAATAAGTGGGGAAACAACTTCTACTATGATGATGAAAGGGATTAACACATTATCAAGTACCCAAGGATATCTACTGTATCCTTTATCCAGCTCCAGATACTAGACCTGGGAAAAGCTACCCAGTCACATTGTAGGTACAGAGAGGGGCCAATGTCACTGTACTTGCAGATGGAACTCAGAATGTATTATTCTATACACTTGATCTTAGCCAAAAGGCAGAAAAGTGATAGGATGTATTATTCTATAAAAACAATGTCTCAAATGATTAAACATAATGAAAATATTTTCTCAGCATTAAATAACAAATACAGTATTACCCATCCATTGGATTAGTTTAATAGCATTCTATGGATTGCCCTATGTGCAGTAAAGAGTTAACACAACCGGACTGAGTCTGCTCTCCTAAGGCCTGCCCACAAGGTTGGCCACTGGCTGGCATTTGGAACTTGGCAGACAGAGTTTTTTACACTGATATAAAACTTGCTCTCAATGGAATGGGTGGCGCACTACACCTAGACTATTTGTGCAAACAATATGGTTTATGCTAAATACCTGCTCTTCTTCCAAGAGACTGGAAGTTTGGAATGTGCTAGACAAAGGGTGCCTATGTAACCAGTCACCAGTGAAAACCTTAGGTGTTCAGTCTCTAATTAGCTTCCCTGGTAGACAGAAACATGTTTTCAAATTTCATTACTGAAAAATGTTAAGCATGCCCTGTGTGACTCCACTGTGAGAATTCTTGGACAACTGAGCCTAGTTTCCCCCAGCCTTTACTCAATATACACCTCTGCCACTTGCAGATACTGGTTTTTAATTCTTTCACTGTACTAAACCTCAGCTCTGAGTACAATTATCTGTTGAATTCTGCAAGTCCTTCTAGCAAATCACCATATCTGAGGATGGTCTGGGCAGCTCACAACACATCTGGGAATTAGTCATTATTTCTAAGCACTCTTCCTATGTGTTCTGAGTTCAGATAACTGATTTAGATATCTGGAAAACAACCAATTCTGCAGAGACTGTATTGTTAAGTACTAAGTGAATCTAGAAAAAGTGTGACAAAGATTCATTTTGAAATGTTTTCACTAACACATCAAACAAATTTAAATTAAAATACTATGAAGCTGTGACGGTAATGGGGTATGTGGGGGACCTTCATAAAAAGGGGGAGTCTAGTAACCATGTTGTTCAAGTAATTGTACATAAACAATATAAAAAAAATACTGTGAATCTTACTAAAACATTGTTCATTTGAGTAAAATTTAGTATAAACTTAACTGCAATAAATGGCATAACATTTTTTTCAAATCAAATATCATTTTTAAATTCTATAAAGATTTCCCAAGACATATGAACTTAAGAAACATTACAATGATGCTGTAATGCAGGATTTGACAAACTAAGCCTGTGGGACAAAGCTGGCCTACCACCTGTTTTGTAGGCAGGAGGTCAGCTAAAACTGGTTTTTACATTTTTAAATTGCTATATTTTAAGTGGTTATATATGTACTACATAATATCCTTGATTTTGTGTTTGATCAAAGATCAAAATACTTACTATCTGGCCATTTAAGAAAAAGTTTACCAATCTCTGCTATACTGTATGAGAGTTCTTGCTTGTTTCTTGTACATCTCCAAACTATTCTCAATAATTTTTGGGGGTGGGGTAGAATTATTTATTTTTAAAATTGAAATATAGTTTATATACAATATCATTTTGGTTTCAGATGAATAATTTAGGAAATTCATCAATTATATACATAGGCGTAGTTAACATATGTCACCATACAAAGATTATTATAATATTATCAGGTATATTCCCTAAGCTATACTTCTATCCCTGTGACTAAATTACTTTATAACTGAAGTTTGTACCCCTTTTCCCCTTCACCTATGTTACTAGATGGCAATCATCCCGCCATGGTAATCAACCACACAGTCTGTGTGTTTATGAATCTATTTCTGTTTTGTTTGTTTTGATTTTCAGATTCAACAATATAAGTGAAAGCATATGGTATTCATCTTTCTCTGACTTATTTCACTTAGCATGATACCCTCTAGGTCCACCATGTTGCTGCAAATGGCAGGATCTCTTTTTTATGGGAGAATAATATACCATTGCATATATGTACCATTTTTTTTTATTCATTCATCTACTGATGGACATAAACACAGGGGTGTATATACCTTTTCAAATTGTTGATTTTGTTTTCTTCAGGTAGATTCCAAGAAGTAGAATTGCTGAGTCATATGGTATTTCTATTTTTAGTTTTTTGAGGAACTACCATATTGTTTTCCATAGTGGCTAGACCAATTTATATTCCAACCAACAGTGCAGGAGGGATCCCTTTTCTCCACATCCTCTCCAACATTTGTTATTTCTTGTCTCATTGATACTATCCATTTTGACTGGTGTGAGGTGATACCAAACTGTGGTTTTGATTTGCATTTTCCTAATGATTAGTGATGTTGAGCTTCTTTTTCATGTGTCTGTTGGCCAAGTGTGGTCTTTGGAAAAATGATTCAGGTCCTTCACCCATTTTTAATCAGGTCATTTATTTTTTTGGTGTTGAGTCATATGAGTTCTCTATGTAGTTTGGATATTAGCCCTTTATCAGATATACCATTTGCAAATATATTCACCCATACAGTAGGTTGCCTTTTTGTTTTGTTGATGGTTTCCTTTGCTGTGCAAGGCTTTTTAGTTTGAAATGGTCCCACTTGTTTATTTTTGCTTTTGTTTCCCTGGCCTGGAGAGAGATATATTCAGAAAAAAATTTCTATTGTTGATGTTCAAGAGTTTACTGCCTGTGTTGTCTTCTAGTTTTACAGTTTCAAGTTTCACATTTAGGTCTTTAATCCATTTTGAGTTTATTTTTGATATAGTGTAAAGAGAGTGAGCCAGTTTCATTCTTTTGCATGTACCCGTCCAGTTTTATGAATACTATTTATTGAAGAGACTGGTATATTCTTGCCTCCTTTGTCATATATTGATTAATCATATAAGTGTGGGTTTATTTCTGGGCTCTCTATTCTATTTCATTGGTCTATCTATGTATCTGACCTTGTGCCAATTCCATACTGTTTTGATTACTGTATCCTTGCAGAACAGTTTGAAATCAGGGAGCATAATATCCCTGGCTTTGCTATTTCTTAAGATTGCTTTAGCTATTTGGGGTCTTTTGCAGTTACATACAAATTTTAGGATTACCAACTCCAGTTTAGTGAGCTGCCATTTTGATAGGGATTGCAGTGACTCTGTGGATTGCTTTGGACAGTATGGCCATTTTAACAATATTAATTCTTCCTATCCATGAGCATGGAATAGCTTTCCATATGTATTGTCTTCAGTTTCTGTCATCAATATTTTATGGTTTTCAGAATACAAGTCTTTCACCACCTTGGTTAGATTTATCCCTAGATATTTTATTCTTTTTGATGCAACTGTAAATAGGATTGATTTTTAAATTTCTCTTTCTGCTACTTCACTGTTTGTATATATAAATAAAACAGCTTTCTGTACATAGATTTTGTATCCTGTGACTTTACTGAATCTATTTATTAATTCTAATAGTTTCTTTAATCAAATCTTTAGGTTTTTCTATAGTATCACATCATCTGCAAACAGTGACAATTTTACTTCTTCCTTACCAACTTGGATGCATTATATTCCTTTTTCTTGTCTGACTGCTGTGTCTGACTTTTAGCACTATGGTGAATAAAAATGGTGAGTGAGCATCCTTGTCTTGTTCCTGATCTTACAGTAAAAGCTTTTAGCTTTTCATCATTGAGTATGATGTTAGGTGTGTGATTGTAATACACGGCTTGTATTATCTTGAGATATATGCTCTCTATACCCACTTTGTTGGGTTTTTATCTTGAAAAGAGTATTGAATTTTGTCAAATGCTTTCCCAGAATCTATTGAGATGATATGTTTTTTATCTTCCTTTTTATTAATGTAGTATATCACATGGATTGATTTGTGGATATTAAATCTAACTTGATCGTGGTGAATGATCTTTTTCATGTATATTTAAATTCAGTTTGCTAGTATTTTGTTAAGGATTTCTGCATCTATGTTAATTAAGGATTTTGGTCTGTAGTGTCCTCTGGTTTTGGTATTAGTAATGGTGGTCTCACAGCATGAATATAAAAGTCTTCTTTCTTCTTTGTTTGTTTTTTTTTAATAGTTTGGTAGGAGAAGTATTAACTCTACTTTAAATATTTGACAGAACCCACCTGTGAAGTCATACAGTCTTGGGATTTTTTCTGGGGGAGATATTTTTATTATTATTATTGATTCAATTTCATTACCAGTAACTGGTCTGTTCAATTTTTCTATTTCTTCCTGATTCAGTCTTGGAAGATTGTATGTTGTGAGGAATTTTTCCATTTTTTCTAAGTTGTTCAATTTGTTGGCATAGAATTTTTCATAATACTCTTATAATCATTTGTATTTCTGTGGTTTCAGTTGTAACTGCTTCTCTTTCATTTCTGATTTATTTGAGCCCTCACTTTTTTTCTTAATGAGTCTAGCTGAAGATTTATCAATTTTGCTTATTTTTTCAAAGAACCAGCTCTTAGTTTCACTGCTCTTTTATGTAGTTTTTTTAGTCTCTATTTCACTTATTTCCACTTTGATCTTTGTTATTTCTTTTCATCTACTACTTTGGGCTTTATTGTTCTTTTTCTAGTTCCTTTAGGTGTCAGGTTAGATTGTTTATTTGAGGTGTTTTTTGCATCTTGAGCGAGGCCTGTATTATTATAAACTTCCCTCTTAGGGTTGTTTTTCATGCACCCCAAAGATTTTGAACTACTGTATTTCTACACTGATTATCCTTCAAATATTTCTTGATTTCTTCTTTGATTTCTTTGATGAGCCATTGGTTGTTTAGTAGCATGCTGTTTAACCTCCATGTGTTTGCGCCTCTTCCATTTTTTTCTTGTAATTGATTTACAGTTTCATACATTGTAGTATGAAAAGACGCTTGATATGATTTAAATCATCTTAAATTTATTAATATTTGCTTTGTGGCCTCACATGTGATCTATTCTGGAGACTGTTCCATGTACATTTGAAAGAGTATATCAGCTAGTTTTGGATGTAATGTTTTGTATATATATCTATTAATTCCACTTAGTCTTATGTGTTATTCAAATCCAGTTTCCTTATTGATTTTCTATCTGGAAGATCTATTCATTGAAGTGGGGGGTATTAAAGGCTCTCATTATTATTGCATTCCTGTCAATCTCTCCCTTTATGTCTGTTGATGTTTGCTTTATATATTCAGGTGCTCTTCTGCTGGGTGCATAGATATTTACAATTGTTATATCTTCTTGCTGGACCGTGCCCTTAGTTTTTATAAAATGTCCTTCTTTGTCTCATTACTTTTATGTGATCTTTCAATCCCTTGTTGAACACAAGGTGCTCACCTGGGCCTCAGTTCTTCCTCAAGATGAACTTCTACGTGTATAGGTGTAGATTTAGTCTGAAGGTGGGAAGCGGTGGGTTCAAGCTCTCTCTATACTGCCATTATCCCATGCTATTACTATTTCTTGCCTCTATTCTTAATAACTTTATTATCATTTTTACTTTTTGCCAAAAGAGTTAATATTGTCTGTCCTTACCAAATTCATAGGTCTGAATGCATTTCATATTTACATTCTGAACTATTAAAAGTAATTCAGTATGTACATTTAAACATTTAACTTTGAAGAAACTCAATTACAGCATTATCTATCTTGTTTTATATGTCTATTTCTTCTGGTATTAACAATTAACAATCAAACTCACTGGGCCATATTTTATACCAACAAACATTAATTAAGAAATTTTTAGACACCCTTTGCATATCATCTCAGCTATCACAAGAAGCAATTTAAATCAAACTATATATTCTTCCTTGTCAGGAAAATGTGAAGTAGAAGAAAGCAAGCCAGGTAAAAAGTTCAAGTACCACTCAGCAGCAAACAAAAGATTTCAATAAGATTGTTTTAAAAATCCAAGAATGTTATTATTGCAGTATCACTTACTATTTGGGATTAAGTATGATAATTTACACCCTCCATTAAAGAATAAAAGGAACATTGAGGTATTTCAGTTGTAATTGCTTTACAGAAAAAACTTTTTGATATTACCAAAGTGGATATTACCTCTATAAAAAATGACTTGAGTTCAGGGAGGTGCTGAAAGAGGTTTAAGGTTGAAGTATCTGTTTTGGTCTGCTTCTGTACTGCTTCCTCTGCTGATAATCTAGGAGGATGTGGTCCCTTCAAAACAATTTAAAGGAAAAAGAATTCCACAATTATATTAAAACATTTCTCACTGTATTCCTTCATACATACTGGGCTCTAGTTACAAGGGATTACATACCATGCACTGTTGACAACACCAGGCCCTTGCTCACACTATTCCCTCAACAGAGTTATTACCCAATTCATTTCTAGAGAAATTCTATTTCTACTTTAAAGCTTTTCTTACTGATGTTGTTCCTGAATCTCTAAGCCAGAGTTAATTATTCTCTTTTATTATTTTCTTCAGCATCTTATTTTAGTATTTTATTTAGTACTTATTTGTGTTGGATTATATATGGTTGTTCATGGTCTATCTTCTACAACTGGCAATAGGTGTCTTAAAGTCAGAAAACAAGTCTTAATCATGTTTGAATTTTCATCACCTAGCACATTATTTAAATATGACAGATGGTTAATAAATGGCAAAATTAAATGCAATATTCAAAAGCCAAAATTTCTAATATGGATGAATCTTTAATTTCAAAAATGAGATCAAAATGTCAATACTATCAGAATCAAATTATGGGAATTGCTGCAGTTCTTTTCAAATGAACTGAATTATTCTTCTTTAACTTTAATGTCAGAGATATAGAATATTATTTTTATAAATAAAAAATAATGATGAATCAAATTAACATTCCAAACGCACAGTTAAAATATAGAATAGAATTCTAAGAATAGGATTCTTCTAACTCCACCACAAAAGATTCGATTTTAGGAAATAGATATGAGCTGTCACATACTTAAATATTTAGGTCAATTATCCATGTATTACTCACTTTATTTTTATGGTGATGAAAACTAATTAGCACTACTCCTGTTAAAAAAAAAGTAAACCTGGTAAAAAAATTTTACAGAATTTATTTCAAAGCCCAATGAAGTTATTTTATTTTGTTACTTTTGCTTTCTGAATCTATCAGCAGTTAAGGGATAGACTATATGTATCAGCATTGGTTTAAAATATGACTGTTCTATGAAAACTAATGCTGGAGGTGTCAAATAAACTGTTCCTAAGGGTTGTAAAGCTTAGTCCCATAACTGAAATAACAGAAGTACATCTATAAACCAGAGTTTCAATACACTGTTGCTGTAATAGCTGTGGAGATTTCAATTCAACAATTATTTACTGCATATATAATATATGTAAGAAAGATACAAAGATGATTATGAGAAGGTTGCCGCCTTTAACATATTTATAATAAAGTGAGGAGATGGATAAATACACAACCGAAGAAAAAAGTACCAAAATTAGGATATAAGTAACAGCCCATATAGTTTAAAGGGGCTTTTAATAGCTATTGATTCAGAGGAAACATGGCATGGCAGAAGGCTTTGGAGTTAGATAGGCATGCATCCAAATCCTGCCCAGTATAAACTTGGAAAAAGTACTTGATTTCTGTAAGGTTTGTAGGCTAGGTATTAATTTCTATTAGGCTTGGCTTCATCATGTGAAAAATGAGGATAAGTGGAAATTTACTGTAAATCACCTAGCACAATGTCTGCATAAGAAAACACTGACTTAATAAATGGTATATTATTGTATATTACTCATTTTTGAATTGATAGACTAATAAAATCAAGATATCTTTGAAAACTAATATTGGATTAACTACTAAAATATAAAACTATGCAATGAGGAAAATAATAATTTAACTTCAGATACTGTTATGGGGAAAGAAATATAGTAATATTTATAATTTGATTCTATGTTTATAAATTCTATAGTTTGATTCTTAGGACTGGGTTTGAGCTCTGCATGGTAATTACCATTTTGGGGCTGGTGTCAGCTACTAGAAGTCTTATATATGGAGCAAGTCCCATTTTAAGGGCAGTTTTAATGGCACAATCTAACTGGTAACAGTTAGAATGCCTCCATTTAAATAAGGGAGGGAGTAATATCTCCCCTGACAAGAGGGCCTTCAACTCACATTTTCCTTTCTCAGAAATAAAAAAATAGTATGACTGGTTTGTTTGCTTGCTTTTTACTGAAGTATAGTTGACACACAATATTATATTGGTTTCAGGGGTGCAACAGTGATTCAACAATTATATGCATTAGAAATGATTGGCTTTCTGAGTAAATATTAATCCTCTGTGACTTGAAAGAATTAACTGTATATGTGGATCTTGACTGCAATATTTTGTTATTCCAAAATAGGAACAATCATTTAAACCTGTATTTTTTATGTGGCAATATAACTGTTCCTAAATTCTAGCTAATTCTAAAATAAGGGTTTTAATCATTAAAATCCTTGAAAATACTGGTCACACTATTTCTTAGCAATTAAATTCTAGACTGCTTATGTAATCAATAACCTTTATGATTCACCTTTAACAGTTGACAAGGTGTTTGCCCAAAATTATTAATCATCCCTTCTAAGGCTTTTCTTTCCTTCTCATCTGTTAAGGCATCCAGATCCACAGCTCCTAAAACCAGGAGAAGAAGTCAGTTCTCTAGAGGGTAAACAAATCAGCAAGCCACATAACTAAGACTGATCAGATACTTCCAACAAAACATCATTCCATTATTCAATTAATAAAAACACTGTAAAAGAGGTCACTTTTAAAAACACAGTAAAGTTTCAAACATTAAACATGTATAAACAAAAATTCTATCCACTATTTAGAACTAAAATATTTTAACAAAAGTTCACTGTTAGTCTATAAAAATTTCTCTTAGAAAAATACAAACTGTACTCATAGTGCACCTAATTGTTTTCTTCATGATAGTCAGGCAGAAACAAGTGTAATAACCACAAAAAAATAATGCTATAAGCTACTGCTTATCTAACAATTGTTGGGAAAGGTGACATTCTGGTTAATTGATTATATCCATCCATACTTAATATGGACTGTTGTGTGGCTATTAATTGTCTAAACTAGGTAAGTTGGATTTCAAAGTCTATGTTCCTAGCCATTATGCTATGCTGCCCCCCACAAAAAACTATTATCAAATGAATATGGTAAGGTAAAAACACACTTGTCTACCAAAACTCATGTGGCCTCTGCTCAGATTTACATAATTTCACATTATTCAGTCTTTAGAACTACCAGCTCTAAACGATTAGAAAAGAAACTACCTCTAAGTTTTTCAAAGCCTTCAGAAAATGTTCTTGACTCTGAGTTAAACATTAGAATGTCATCTTATTTATCATTTGAAGAATTTTTTTATTTACAGTTCTTTCAATGTCTGCTAACAATTTAATACTGAAAATTTACTGTAGGACCCAACTGAATAGGACACATATGATCAGAGATCAATTACTTTTATGCTAATAACTTACATTTATAATTAGATCGGCATATTTACTCTTAACTACTATTTAAACAACTTTGTTAATCTTTCCAATAGTAAACATAACTAAAATTATTTTTAAATGTTGTTTTTCTCATGTTAAATATTTATGTTCAAAATTGCATATATAAATACAGATTAAATAATACTTTCTACCAATATAATACAATAGATAGAGAATATAGGTCTATACCTTCATAACTACAGTAATAGAAAACATTGAGGGCTTCCACTGCAGCTGGCCCCCTCTGTTTATAGCCAAAAATCAAATCTATCCATTCATGAAGATGAGCAGAAACATATTCAGACTCCTAAAAGAAGAAGACATTTAAAACTTTATAGAGATACCTCCCGACTATAATGTAACATGAGTCCTACGAAAAAGAGCAAATTAAACATTTCCACAAACAAATCTTACCAATGTGAAAACTGTCTCAAAATCATGTTAAACACTTACTCAATATGTACTACATATGTTGACTAAACTCTACCTAGTAAAATGTAGGCATCATATTTACTAATATTTACTTCATATGCATCTCCTATTGGGAAACAAAATTAACAGAAATACTCTAATAGTCCAAATATCAACAATAAAAAAATTAATAGCTGTAGAATGTATCATTGTTGTGAAATTTCCATTGAAATAGTTGTCTAGAACTTCAAGGAAACAATGAAACCACACTAGGTTTGATTAAAGATGGCTGCAAGTAACCCCCTCCACCCATGCAGCCTACATCACTAAGTGGTGGACTGGGTGGCAGGTAGAGAGGTTTGAAGGCCCTCCTAGAACTTCTTACTGATGGCTTGAGAGATAGTAAGGAAATTATTATTGGAGACTGGAGAAAAGGGGACTCATATGTTAGTCACATGATACATAGAAAGGTTACCTACTCTTGGGTATAGGGATGGAGATTCCAAGCAGAATGTTTTTAAGTGCTAATTGGCTTCATTTAGCTGCCTATGGTAAGTGTTGGAGGAATATGATAAGTTAAAAAAAAGTGTTCAAATTTTAAGCATAACTTAAAAATATATATAAAGGCACCAGGTCTTGCTAGGTTCAAAATAAAATTATTTCTCATTTTCAGGATCATTAGAGAGAAGCTCTCAAAGTGAGAAATGGCCTAAGTCAATGATTAAATCAGTGTCACTAACAGAGTTGATGCATATGAAACCCATAGAATTTTTAAAGAAATTATATTAATCCAGACTGAGATAGAAACTGTTCAAAAAGAAGAGAGACCTTTGGATTCCAACTTACTATGGTTAGGAGAGAAGTTGACAAAGACAGTCATGTAAACAATGTGGTTTGGTTTGGTTTTTTAATGAAAAAGAGAATGATTAAGAGCTGGGGGCCAAAAGCCCAAGGATAAAACAAAAGAGCCATGGAGAAACACTCTCAGGAAATAGCTCTGGGGCCCTCACAAATAAACTGAGAGCATGTCCCTACTGGAATTCTCAATTGTTATAAACCAGTTATTGCTAGTTGATCTTGTTTTTCTCACGCTTTTGAGTATCTATTATAATTCTCCTGTTCTTGTCAAGCCACTATTGTTATGTGGGGGCATATAATTTGTCTCTTTACTTCACAGTCTTCAGATCCAAACTACATGTGAGTAGTTTCATCCATACACGGATTTGATTAAGACAACTAATAAGATTTTGGACTTCAGGCCTCATGCCTTAATGTAGGGATCAGAAAACTTCTGCCTGTGGGCCAAATCTTATTAGCTGACAATTTGTAGAGCACAGCCACAACCATTTTATTTTGCACTACAGTGGCAGAATTTCAATAGACCTTAAAGCTAAGGAATATACAACACACAGTTGTTGTGGATTAAAGACAGTCACAAATTCTTTCTTATTCCCACCACTGAAAGATGGAGTTTACTATCCCTCCTCTTAAATCTGCACCAATCTTGTTATTGTTTAATCATTACAAGATGGCAGAAGCGATGCTGGGACAGTTCACAGCCTTAAGCATTAAGAAAGTACAGAAGTGAAAAGATGGAGGCGTGAGAGGAGAGACAGAGGCTTCCCTCCTATAACCATATACAATAAGAAAATATAGTTGGTGCAACTAATCCTGAGAAAGCAACAGGAAAGAGGACAGCACCAGACTGCATACACCTGGAGAAAAGAGCAGACCTCAGAGAACAGGGTAATGTACCAAAGCTGTGGCCCAGCAGAATTCAAGCCCTTCCCCAACCCCAGCTCACCAGCGGAAGGAAGAGAAACAGAACAGAGAGTGAGTGGAAGGCCTGGGACTGCTGAATACCTAGCTCCGGAGATCTGCTCGGGGAGCACAAACCTACATTTCATGGTACTTTCACAATACTTGCGTGATTACGGGATTGGAAAGCTAATACAGGCAGAATTTCTGGAAAGACTGAGATTCCAGCCACTTGTGGAAAGCATGGATCCAAATCCGGCTGCTCTGGGACAAAAGCTTATACCTGTGTGCTCAGCCTACTCAGCCAGGAAGCAGAAAACAGCTCTTTCCTCCCCACAGGCACCAATACCGCTCCCCTGAGACCCCCGACATGGCTTCAGGGGCTGAGCAGCTCCAGAGTAGAGCTTCTGGCACTAGAGGGCACCATATACAAATACGAAACGCCAAAGGAACATGGTCCAGAGTAAAATTAATATAACTCTGGAGAAATATTTAAATGACATGGACATTATGATTCTTCCTGAAAGGGAGTTCAAAATAAAAATCATCAACATGCTAATGGAGGTACGGAAAGATATTCAAGAACACCGGAATGAATTCTGGTCGGAGATCCAATCATTGAAAAGCACAATGGAGGGTACTAAAAGCAGGTTGGACACGGTGGAGGAGACGATAAATGAAATAGAAACTACAGAAGAGGAATACAAAGAAACTGAGGCACAGAGAGGAAAAAGGATCTCTAAGAATGAAAGAATATTGAGAGAACTGTGTGACCAATGCAAACGGAACAATATTCATATTATAGGGATACCAGAAGAAGAAGGGAGAGAGAAAGGGACAGAAAGTGTCATTGAGGAGGTAATTGCTGAAAACTTTCCCAATCTGGGGAAGGAGATAGTCTCTCAGGCCATGGAGGTGCACAGATCTCTCAACACAAGGGACCCAAGGAAGATAACACCAAGACACATAGTAATTAAAATGGGAAAGATCAAGGATAAGGACAGACTGTTAAAAGCAGCCAGAGACAGAAATAAGATCACATACAAAGGAAAGCCCATCAGGCTAACATCAGACTTCTCAGCAGAAACCTTACAGGCCAGAAGGGAGTGGCATGATGTATTTAATGCCATGAAGCAGAAGGGCCTGGAACCAAGATTACTTTATCCAGCAAGATTATCATTTAAATTTGAAGGAGGGATTAAACAATTTCCAGATAAGCAAAAGCTGAGAGAATTTACCTCCCACAAACCACCTCTACAGTCTGTTTTGAAGGGACTACTACAGATGAAAGTGTTCCTAAAGTTTAATAGCTGTCACCAGAGGTAATAAAACCACAGTAAAGAAAGTAGAACCGCTAATTACTAACCAAATGCAAAATTAAATTGACTATCCCCGAAGTCAATCAAGGGATAGACAAAGAATACAGAATATGATACCTAATATATAAAGAATGGAGGAGGAAGCAAAAGGAGGAGAAAAAGAAAAGAACCTTTAGGTTGTGTTTGTAACAGCATATTAAGTGAGTTAGGTTAGACTCTTAGATAGTAAGGAATTAACCTTGAACCTTTGGTAACCACAAATCTAAAGGCTGCAATGGCAGTAAGTACATACCAATCAATAATCACCCTAAATATAAATGGACTGAAGGCACCAATCAAAAGACATAGAGTCACTGAATGGATAAAAAAACAAGACCCGTCTATATGCTGCCTACAAGAGACTAACTTAAAACCCAAAGAAATGCACAGACTAAATGTGAAGGGATGGAAAAAGATATTTCATGCAACTAACAGAGAAAAAAAAGCAGGAGTTGCAGTACTCGCATCAGACAAAACAGACTTCAAAACACAGAAAGTAACAAGAGACAAAGAAGGACATTACATAATGATAAAGGGGTCAATCCAACAAGAAGACATAACCATTATAAATATCTATGCTCCCAACACAGGAGCACCCACATATGTGAAACAAATACTAACAGAATTAAAAGGGGAAATAGAATGCCATGCATTCATTCTAGGACACTTCAACACTCCACTCACCCACTCACTCTGAAGGGCAGATCAACCAGATAGAAGATAAGTAAGGAGACAGAGGCATTGAACAACACAATAGAACAGATGGACCTAACAGACATCTACAGAACTCTACACCCAAACGCAGCAGAATACACATTCTTCTCAAGTGCACATGAAACATTTTCAAGAATAGATTGTATACTAGGCCACAAAAAGAACCTCAGTAAATTTAAGGAGATTGTAATTGTACCAGCCAGTTTCTCAGATCACAAAGGCATGAAACTAGAAACAAATTACACAAAGAAAATGAAAAATTCCACAAACACATGGAGGCTTCACAACATGCTCCTAAATAACCAATAGATCAACGACCAAATAAAAACAGAGATCAAGCAATATATAGATAGAGACAAACGACAAAAATAATTCAAAACCGCAAAATCTGTGGGATGCAGCCAAGGCTGTGCTAAAAGGAAAGTATATTGCAATACAGGTCTACCTTTAGAAAGAAGAACAGTGCCATATAAGCAGTCTAAACTCACAATTAATGAAACTAGAAAAAGAGCAACAAATGAGACCCAAAGTCAGTAGAAGGAGGGACATAATAAAGATTAGAGAAAAAAATAAATAAAATTGAGAAGAATAAAACAATAGAATCGATGAAAGCAAGAGCTGGTTCTTCAAGAAAATAAACAAAATAGATGAACCCCTAGCCCGACTTAACAAGAAAAAAAGAGAGTCTACACACATAAACAGAATCAGAAATGAGAAAGGAAAAATCACTAAGGACACCACAGAAATACAAAGAATTACTAGAGAAGACTATGAAAAATTATATGGAAACAAACTGGATAATCTAGAAGAAATGGACAACTTTCTAGAAAAATACAACCTTCCAAGGCTGATCAAGAAAGAAACAGAAAATCTGAACAGACCAATTACCAGCAACGAAATTGAACTGGTAATCAAAAACCTACCTAAGAACAAAACCCCTGAACCAGATGGCTTCATTGCTGAATTCTATCAAACATTCACTGAAGACCTAATACCCATTCTCCTTAAAGTTTTCCAAAAAAAAGAAGAGGAGGGAATACTTCCAAAATATTTCTATGAGGTCAAC